CGAGGTGAAGTCGCAGTCGTGCTGGCCGCGCTGGTGCTGCTGGTTGCGGCGTGCTGGTGTTGGTGATGGTGCTGGTCACTGCCGTGCTGGTGACGGTGGTACTGCGGGTTGCTGTGCACGGTCTCGTCGTCGGCCTGGGCGTTGGAATGGGCGTCGAGATGGACGGCGGATCGGGCGTCGCGGTGGGCCGGGGCTTCAGGTGCGGAGTTGGGTGGGGCGTCGGGCATGGCGTCGTGCTGGTTGCCGTCATTATTGTCGCGATGTATCCGCTGGTTTGCATCGCCTTAGTAACGGTGATACTGTTGGTTATCGTCGTGATGCTGGTCATGCTGAGGCTGCGTTCCGCGATGCTCTTCGCAGTGGTGTTGCTGCGTACTGTCACACTGGTCACGGTGGAGCTTCTGTCCGTCGACGTGCTGGTCACGGTGGTTCTGTTGTCGCTCCTCTTGCTCCTCCCCGACGACCCCTCCCGCGACCCTCATTGTCACCGCCACAGCCTCCAGGTCCTTCACCTCCTCCAGCCTGACCGCCGCCTCCGTCGCGACGTCGACCTCCTCGTCGGCGACGTCGACCCCCTTCTCCACCGCATCCGCTGGATCCTTCTCCTCCCCCCCTGGCCTGGCCCTCTAGGTCCAAGGCCTTCTGCTCTTGATCCACGTCTGGTCTTGGAAGTGGCGCTGGAGTTGGAGTTGGCGTTGGGTCCCGCCGTACTCGTAGCAGCGGAGCTGCCGAGTACCGTGGTCCCGCGCCTGCTGCTGGTGCTGGAGATTCTCGCGGTGGTGACGGTGGTGGTGCAGTAGACCCTGATGCTGGTCACCATGGTGATGCTGGTTGTCGTCGCGGTGGTTGCGGTTGTGGTGAATGTCTTTGTCGTGCTGGCGGAGGTTGTGATGCTGGTTTGCCGTCATGCTGGTGACGGTGATGCCACTGGCTGCCATCATGCTCTTCGCAGTGGTGTTGCTGCGCGACCTAGCGCTGGTCACGGTGGAGCTGCTGGCCGTCGTCGTTCTGGTCATGGAAGCATTGCTGTCCCCCTTCCTGCTCTTCCCCGGCGACGACCCCCATGACCCCCGCCGACTCCGCCACCGCCAGCCTGACCTGCACCTGCATTACGATGTCGACCACCACGACGTCGACCTCATTCACCACCGCTTCCTCGACGTCCTCCTCCTCCTCCTCCTCATCCTCCTTCCCGGCCTGGTCCTCTGCGACCACGGCCTTGCGATTTGGGTCCTCGGTCTGCTGCCTGAAGTCGGGCTCGGCGCAGCCGTCGACGAAGCTGTCGAGTACGTCCGCGCGGATCCCGGAGAAGAAGACGGATGCCTCGCTCCGTCGCTTTTTTCGGGGGCGGAAAAGAGGGGGGTGATGACTAGGGGGGGGTGGATATCATGGCGGGGGCCATGATATTTCCAGATTTCGTGGCGCCTCTTCTTATTTCATTACGTCCCTGGCCCCCCCGCTGGGCCGCGCACGTGCCGCCGGTCATGATTTGCACCCCCCCCTCTTGGACACCCCCCTCTTGGCCGCTCCGTCGCTTTTTGTGGCTCTGCCCTGGGCCTCGTCGGCCCAGAAGCCATGGGGGCCGCGCAGGGCGCAGGGATGGTCGAAGCGAGGTTCGGCACGAACTCCGGTCCGCTCACACGGAGGGTATTGCTCTCGGTGTTGGTGCTGGCGTCGGCGTGCTCCTTGCGGTGTCTTCAGCCCGTGATGGTGCCGGCGTCGTCGCGGTGCACTCCACGATCCTCTGCAGTTCACGTCCAGGCTCTCAGATCATCTGAGTGGCGCGACCGTGGTGGTGACGCGTGTTACCTGGGTGGCGCGCCCGTGCGTGTCCGCGTCCTCATAGCGCGCGCACTCGGGCAGGCGAGGTTTTCATTTTCCAAGGCGCAAGATCTATTCTCGCAATGCTTGCTGAGACCTGGCAATCTGACAGATGGGTCGGAGTAGATGGGGTCGGAGGATCGCGCCGCATCGCCGATGCATCAGCGACGCGGCACGATGTGGAGCCCGATCTGCTCCACGCCGACGACGCCGAAGCATCGGCGATCTGGCCAGATCCTCCGACCCCCGCTATGCGGACCCTACCTAGGAGGCCTCTATCACGAGGATGGTGCG